GTGTGTGTGTGTGTGTGTGTGTGTGTGTGTGTGTGTGTGTGTGTGTGCGTGTGTGCGTGCGTGCTGTGTGTGTGTGTGTGTGTGTGTGTGTGTGTGTGTGTATATAAGCATATAGGTATTTTGAAACATACTCCTACTCTATGGATAATTTAGGAAATCACCAGCTAAATGCTCAGTGGAATTGAATTCAGCTTCAGTAATAGCATCATTAAACTTGCGTAACGTATATTTTCACCTCATATATTAAAAGAGAAGTTTCTGGTTTTGTGGACTCAGCACCGGCTTCAGTCCTGCAGGCTACAGTGTGTCAATCTTTCACAGCCTATGGAAATCCCCTGAACCTGCTCTGAAGAACACCTGAACACTGCTTTAAATTGCACATAATAATGTATGGTGGTGTTGAACCCCCAGGAAAACTGATAAGACAAAATGCCAGACTCTGGGTCCATATGTAAGAATTCACCAGTCACTATATTCACACAGTAAAAGTATGTTTTTCAGCTGTTTTATGAAAACAAGAGTGCTGCTGGCTTCCTTTCTGTTGACTAATAAAAATCACCTCATGTCCCTGTTGTAAATAATTTCCTGATTACATATTTAGGATAACAACAACAAGGAACACTTTGTGGACTAAAGAGTCTAAAGACTCACAGAGGAGTTTCACAAATGGCACAGCTCTTTATGTAAAGGCTAGAACAGCATAATTATCACATAAAACTTTTGTTTATGCTGAAGGAGCTGTATTAATCTCAAACTCTTCTTAACAAACAGACCACAGTTAGTGAGGATCCACAACTTCTCCTCCTCCACCATAACCCTCAGCACTGGCTCTCCCCAGGGATGTGTGTTGAGCCCCCTCCTGTTTACTCTGCTCACGTATGATTGTGCAGCTACCCATCCAGGTTGTCATATTGTAAAGTTTGCAGATGATACAGCGGTGGTGGGATGCATCACAAACAATGATGAATCCTGCTACAGGCAAGAGGTGAAACACCTGGAGAGCTGGTGCAAAGAAAATAACCTTCACATCAATGTGAAGAAGACAAAGGAGATGGTTGTGGACTTCAGAAGGAACAAAAACACCTACACCCCCCACACCCCCAAACATAAGAGGATCTGCAGTGGAAGTGGTCTCCAACTACAAGTACTTGGATGTACACCTGAATTACCATGTACACCTGAATTACCTCAGCTGGAGCAACAACACCACCAGCCTGATCAAGAAAGCTCATCAGAGACTCTACTTCCTCAGGCGGCTGAGGCGAGCTGGTCTGGGAAGCTCAGTCCTCACCTCCTTCTGCAGGTGTGCAGTGGAGAGCATCCTGTGCTCCAACATCAACGTGTGGCATGGAGGCTGCACAGCTGCAGAAAGAAAAGCTTTGCAGAGAGTGGTGAAGGCTGCACAGAAAACTGTCGGAGTCAGTCTCCCCACCATCACAGATATCTAAACCTCCAGATGCAGGAAGAGGGCCACCTGCGTCATGAAGGACCCCACTCACCCAGCACACACACTTTTTGCCCCGCTTCCCTCAGGAAGGAGGTTGAGGAGCATTAAGTGTAGAACCACTAGACTGAGGAACAGCTTCTACCCTGAGGCTGTTAGACTCATGAATCTCTAACCAGAATAATCACTGTGAAAAAAATCACATCATGTTGCTGCTGATCTGTTTCATGTTGCTGCTGATCTGTTTCATGTTGCTGCTGATCTGTTCCATGTTGATGTGTTCACGCGTGCACATCTGCTCACACAGACTCATGTTCATGTTTGTGCTGATGTTCAACGTAATGCTTTTATTAGTGCTTAGTGTATATTTAGTTGATATTTTTCTTAGTTCATATGTTAGATGTTATTATTGTTTTTATTTTACATTTTATTGTTGGATGTAACTGGGACCCTGTGTACATAATTTCACTCCACCACATGTACCACATGAGGTACGAATGACAATAAAGAATCTCTGACTCTGACTCTGATTAATGTTTTCTTCATATATTTTTGCCTCCTTGTAATTCCTTTCCTTCATGTTTTCCTCTTTAAATGCATGTGGGGAGATGTGTTATGGTCCTGACATCACATCCATTCAAATTTGAACGTCTCATTGAAGCGAACGGATCTTCAAGGTCTGCTTCCCTTCAAAGAACCACATATCCCATCTCGACTCATGAGTCCTGATTCAGTGTGAGGATTCTGATCTTTAATTCGGGTGAGTCAGTAACCAACCAGCTGTAGTGCAAAACTCTTCTGGATCCCTTGTGAAAGGTAAGCACAACATCCATTTTGGAACCAGAAGACTTTTGACATAAACTCTGAAATCTACTATGACCTATATCCACTTTGGCATTCAGGCAGGGATCTCCCAAGACAGCCTTTCCACACGGGTAAAATCTGTCAGCCATAATTTATAAGTTTACCTCAAGGCAAGAGAGAAAATCCTTTGTGAACTTGAAAGCTGTAGAATCAGTTGCTGTAAAGTCTTTTTTTTAATTTCAGTATCCTACAGATGACTTTGCAGCCAGAACATGAGTTCCATTACTTACAACATGCAATATCAAAGTCAGCGTTTCTTTATTTGTCATTTGCATGATATGTGGTACATGTGATGGAACAAAATTGTGTACACAGGGTCCCAGTTACATCCAACAAGAGTATGAATTGTAAAGAAAAACAGTAATAAGATCTAAGATATGAACTGAGGAATATGCTAAACTAAGAATACACTAAGCACTAGCAGTACAAAAACTATAAGCTGAATAACAGCAGCACGAACATGAGTCTGTGTGAGCAGATGAGTACAAATGAACTCAGCAGCATGAGATCAGCAGCATGGATAGTCAGCAGCACAAATCAACAATTGCAATCAATACATTGCAGAAGGATTTAAAAAGTGAATGTTTGTAATTTTTGAGATGAGTGTTTTTTTGGACTCGAATTGAACAGGGAATGCAAATAAACTTTAATGTTTTTGCAGCAAAATATTCAAGTGGGCAAGACAGAGGTAGGAGTTTTTAACTTGTCTGAGGCGGTGCAGAGTGACTGATCCTGGCGAATGGAGAGAGCAATTTTATTCACCATCAGGTGCATTGGCGGAGCCGGGGGGGGGGGGGGGGGCAGTGATGGCCTTGGCCTCCATGCATTAATCTTTGTCCACCCCAATGATTTGAGAAAACTATACATGTAAGTATATAAAAACAAGAAAACAAAAAAAATGTATTCATATAGCGGTGGCCATCTTGGATTTTGATGTGGCAACCCAGTTTTTGATAGTGACCTTTCTTACACTTAAATTCAGCCACACACTAAAATGGAAGTTGGCACGTTGTTTATTTTTCAAGTTATCCAATTCACAAAATTGACATATTTACATGTATGGTGGAAGCCATTTTGGATTTTGACATGGCAACCCAATTTTTCAAAAGGAACCTTTCTTTCACCTAGATGTATCTACACACCGGCTGTGGCTGAGTGGTTAGAGCAGTCGTCCTCCAATGCGAGAGTTGGGGGTTTGAATCCACCAGCAGTCACATGCTGAAGTGTCCCTGGGCAAGACACTAAACCCCTCATAGCCTCTGATGTGTGTCCCATCAGTGTATGAATGTGATCTAAAGCTCTGATTAGTCTCTTTAGAATGATTTGTTCAATTAGCTTTGTAGAGATCTAGTAGAGTGCTGTATGAATGGGTAAATGAGGACACAGATTGTAGTGTAAAGCGCTTTGAGTATCTTGAAATAAGATAGAAAGGCGCTATATAAGTACAGTCCATTTACCATTTACCATTTACACCCAAAAGGGAAGTTGGTATTTGGACTGCACTTATATAGCACCTTTCTATCTTATCAAGATATGTAAAGTGCTTTACATTACAATCTGCACTACAGCACTCTACTATAGCTATACAAAGACTAATCAGTGATTTATCACATTCATTCACCAATGGGACACACATCGGACAGTGTCTTGCCCATGGACAATTCAGCATGTGACTGCTGGTGGAAGTGAACACCCAACTCTTGCATTGGAGGATGAATGCTCTAACCACTCATCCGCAGCCACCCGTGATACCTCACTTATTTTTTGTTATTATGCTCACAAGGCAGATGAACGGTCTTCCCAATTCCCCGTCTTCGCTTTGCGACAGGCGACAATAACTGGCTAAATGTTTTGGTCGATAGAGGATCAGATAAGCTAGCTTTTTGTCAAACTAAACTGTGTCGCTCTGTTGTATCAGTCTGCTTTAATAATGACCATGGGAGACTAAATGAAACCAAACCTGGGCTATTTAGATTAAAGGACGTGCAATAGGAACCTCGTTAAATTCATGAATTTCCAGAGGCAACGCCGAGCAGAGAGTAATTTGTTTTCAGAGTAAACCTGCTAATAGCTCAAACCAGGTATTAGGATATGTTTGATCTAAATATGAGTATTAAATTATTTCAGGACATTTACTCAGAATGCATATAAATTTTAATACTGAAGGGGGATTATTTTGAATTTCAAAACAAGACTCAAAATTTGGTTTAAATTGTTGTCAAAACTACATGGGTGTAGATTAATCAACAGCAACGTTCTTTATTGTGATACCGGATGATAACCTTGAGTTTTTTATGAACTGGCTTCCACCATAATGACTTATTTAACAACTCAACAGCTGTGTGTCCTCTGTTTTTCTTCAGGGGGTGGACACGTAGACTTTGATGACTTCTGCGAGTTGATGGGACCAAGGATGCTGGCTGAGACAGCTCACATGATCGGCCTGAAAGAACTCCGCTGTGCCTTCAAACAGGTAAAGAAACCCAAGCTGGAATCTGTAATGATCTGTAATGATGTGGATCAAGGTGAGCTGGTATCAGTCTGACACAGAGTTCAAGAGGGAGCAGGTTGAGTTTTTAATGGACTTTGGACATAAAAAGACTAAATTTATGCTCTGCACTTTTTATTAGTGCTTTTATTTAATTTGAAATGTGATGTTTCACAGGGGATAATAATGTTCCAGTTGAGAATTTTCATACTTTTATTAATGACATGGTTTTAATAATAGTTTCAATAGAAGAAGAAGGTCAAGGTCAAAGTTCTTTACTGTCATTCTCATCACATGTGGTACAAGTGATGGAACAAAATTGTGTACACAGGGTCCCAAAAGTATAAATTGTAAGGTAAAACAGTAATAAGATCTAAGATATGAACTAAGAAATATGCTAAACTAAGAATACACTAAGCACTAGTAGTACAAAACTATATGCTGAACAACAGCAGCACGAACGTGAGTCTGTGTGAGTAGATGAGTATGAATGAACACAGCAGCATGAAATAAATCAGCAGCATGAGATCAGCAGTATGAGATCAGCAGCATGGATAGTCAGCAGCACATATCAACAATCATCTGGCATTACAGTGATTTTTTTCACAGTCATAATCCTCATGAGTCTAAGAACTTCAAGGTAGAAGCTGTTCCTCAGTCTAGTGGTTCTACACTTAGTGCTCCTCAACCTTCTGCCTGAGGGGAGCGGGGCAAAAAGTGTGTGTGCTGGGTGAGTGGAGTCCTTCATGATGCAGGTGGCCCCTCTTCCTGCATCTGGAGGTGTAGATGTTTGTGATGGTTCTATGGTGGCCAATCTGAAAGTGCTCATGGACAAATCTCAACGCCTTGACATCTAATGCATATGTAATCATGTTTATAAATGTGCTTGCTGATAGTTTTTTGATGTCTCAAATTGTATCCTGATAGGACAATATGTGAAGAGATCTTTTTTGTAATACCACTATCTATCCTTATGGTTCTTACCCTTTTTCTATCTAAAAGTATTCTGATAAAGAACAAGGGGCCACGCTTTTTAGCAGCAGCAACGTGCACTCCACCCATCTTTCAGACGACTGTATGAACATAAATTCACTGTATCTTGTACAATGATAATAAATCTTATTCTGATTCTGGTGGGTAGGCTGACTCCATCATCTTCTGTGCAGCCTTCACCACTCTCTGCAAAGCTTTTCTTTCTGTAGCTGTGCAGCCTCCATGCCACACGTTGATGCTGGAGCACAGGATGCTCTCCACTGCACACCTGCAGAAGGAGGTGAGGACTGAGCTTCCCAGACCAGCTCGTCTCAGCCGTCTCAGGAAGTCTCTGATGAGCTTTCTTGATCAGGCTGGTGGTGTTGTTGCTCCAGCTGAGGTTGTCATTCAGGTGCACACCCAAGTACTTGTAGTTGGAGACCCCTTCCACCGCAGATCCTCCTATATTTAGAGTGGGGGTGGTATAGGTGTGTTTGTTCCGTCTGAAGTCCACGACCATTTCCTTCGTCTTCTTCACATTGAGGTGAAGGTTGTTCTTCCTGCACCATCTCTCCAGGTGTTTCACCTCCTGCCTGTAGCTGGACTCATCATTGTTTGTGATGCATCCCACCATCGCTGTATCATCTGCAAACTTTACAACATGACAGCCTGGATGGGTAGGTGCACAATCATACGCGAGCAGAGTGAAAAGGAGAGGGCTCATCACACATCCCTGGTGAGGGTTATGGTGAAGGAGAAGTTGTGGATCCTCACAGACTGCAGTCTGTTTGTTAAGAAGTCTAGGACCCAGTTGCAAATGGAAGAAATATTTGAAAGAAGAAATATTTTGGGAAAAAACTGGGATTCTCGTAGGCTCTAAGATCTATTGAGCAATTGATTTTTAAAGTTTGAACACAAAATATTCCCAAAAAGATACCTGTACAGCCAATGGCATTTTTAGAGCATATTCAAAATATATTTCTTGAAATCATCAAAGCCTTTGTATTTATTTATTTTTATTACTTTTTGGTGTTTGTGATTAACTAGAACTTATTACAGGGACATAGTGAAAACAAAAAGAAGCAGGCTTGATGATGTCAGGAGTTGTCTTGAAGTGAATTAATGAACCAAAACAGCTTTTTTGAAAAGGACGACATGGTCAAGTGTTTTGCTAATATATCCAAAGTTATGTTGATTTCTGTTAAAGTAAGACATTGACAATAAGAACAGCTGTTACCAATGATGATGGCAGCAATAACTCTGGGAGTGTTTAGTTACCAGTTTCTGCCAGTTTATATGGCACCTTGATTTGACTGTTTTTATAAATACATTTATTTTTAATTGCTTTTTGTTGAATTATTGTTGTCCACTTTATATGTTGTCTGTCTAAAACAGGCCTCTCTTGAAAATGAGTCCTCGTGACACACTGAGACTAACCTGTATAAATAAAGCTTGAATTGAAATTTAACTGAATTACTTTGTTACATTTGTGATGAACTTGTGTTCATCACGTGTCCAGTTTATTTACATACAGTCATACACTGATAATGTGGCTGAACACAGTGCAAATAAGTGGTGCTCCGATGTCCCACATGGCTGAGGGATTTAAGTAGGGACTGTTTTATAGTTTTGGAGATGAGTGTTTTTATGGCCTGGGATTGAACAGGGAATGCAGGTAAACCTTAATGTTTTTGGTGCAAGATATTCAAGTGGGTAGGAGTTGCATCGTGGAGAAGAACAGATGGAGGGGTTTTTTTATTGTCTGAGGCAGTGCAAAGTGATGGATCCTGGCGAGTGGAAGGAGCAATTTTCCACCGCAAGGTGGTGGAGCCAGTGGGTGGCCAATGATGGCCTTGGTTACCATAAATTAATCTTTGGCCACCCAAGCCCCCATTCTTTTGAAGAATCTATACATTCAAGCAGTATAAAACTACAAAACATAGCTTTCTCAAAAGAATGGGGTGACCTTTAGGTTGGCCAATTTACACATATATGGTGATAGCCATAATTGTGGCAACCCAATTTTTGATAATAATCATTTTTTATACCTAGATGCAGCCACACACCAAAATGGAAATTGGTACCTCGCTTATTTTCCAACTTATCCAGCTCATAAGACAGATGGACGGATGGAGGGTATTTTGAACTCGTCTCTTTGCTCTGTGATGAGGGACAACAAACTACATCATGACAACACCTTCCTTTTAACCTGTATCTATAGAGCCCATAATCAAGACTGTTTATTCTGCCATGTTGTAAATTTGCTGCATACAACTACATTCAGTCGAGGTTAGTACACATAGCTAATCATCTAGCTGATATTCTCAAGTCAAGGTCAGGGTGAGACCACCACAACAAAGAAAGGTTGAGTTTTGAATTTTGAAACCAAAACTGCGAGTCAATAAGCCTCACACCAAACTTCTGTGCATGGCTCATGCAACTTGGTTCAGCCCAAACAGAAGGAAGTCAGAACCTCACACTTTAGAATGGAGGAGACACACAGAGGTGTATTTCATGGAGAGCTGGGGCCAAAATGACATTCTATTGTCGGACAGGGACTAGTAACCCAGATGATGTGAGGGAATGCACCAGTTGGAAGCTCCTACAAAATGAATACACAATAACGTGAGGTCAGAAATTAGAGACAGTATCAGACATCTTGTTCCTACTGATACTTCCTCAAAACATTGAGTTCATTTTTTCATAGCTTCATCAGAGCTGAGGCTTGTACATGAGACTGAGAAATGCCTGCTAGAGACAGTCAGGCTCACCTTCATGAATAGCACACATCGTGGTACCAACCTCTTGAAGGACTGGACTTTATTTCACTCTGGAGTTACTGTGGGTGAGTGCAGCTGGATGGATTTGTTTCTTTCTTATAGTCAAGAAGGTAGTTCCTCTTTGCCTTAGATCAAGAAAGGGTTTCCTATTGATGCTTATGTGCACAGAGTACCCAACATTTCTTACAATGTCTTAGAAAGTGGAAACTGGAAGCTGTGCTGTAGTGGAACTCGATGTCATCCAGGGAGGACAAAAATGTCCTTCCTGATCTGAACCAAAGTGTTGACTCTTGAATGGACTTTAGTGCTAATCATAGTAAGTCCATATGAAACAATGCATTAAAGAGTTGAGATGATTGTAAGTGCACTTGGCACTTGGCACTAGAACACCTCAGATCGCAGGTTTATAATTGGTTCTGGAGTCATGCTATCAAATCTTTTGACGGGTAAAAGTCGGTGTATCTGAGCACCTAATTACCAGTAAGTTGCACTGGAAACATCTGACAGATGGTTCAACCTAACTATACTTGGTTAGATTGTGGAACCCAGCATTCAGCTGCAAAGACAGACCGAGCAGGGCAAACCTTAAACTGCTGTGGAAGCTAAATCTTGGAATAGAGTAGGCGTTCATAAGAGACTCTGGCAAAACTATCATTTTCAGGCAAATGAATTGTTGTTTCATCAGCAGTGTTTACAGCCAGGATGAAGGTCAATCTGAATCCAATCCAAACACCTTTTGTAACAGGTTGAAGCTGTGGAGTTTAGAAAGGCAAGGAGAGTATAATGTTGTGGCAGAAATCACTGAAGTAGTTAAAACAACTCTACCGTCACATCGAGTGGTTTCCCTGAGTTTTGAATCTTAAAACAGTAAAACAAATTGGTTTAAAAAATCCAACTAGAACTTTACCAGGAGCATGCTGATGGAGCTAAAACTACATAATCAAGACCTGTTTCTAAATGGCATTCATGCAACTTTTGAGCTCATCTGACTCCTAAAATTCTTGAATCGTTTTAATATAGCAAAGAAAAAAAAGAGCAGAGATTTTGTGATGTTTTTGGTGTTTTATATGCAGATTCATGAATTATACAAGGCTCGTCTCACAGAAAAAGAACAGTTCAAGAACGTCACTGAAAGCCCAGCGTTGCTTTAGCTTTTATGACGCTCACTCTGACATCAGCGCAGACCCGGTCAGCCAGGTGCCCAGGGCTCTTGTAGCGATGTCTCCGACCAAGCGAAACAAATGGACATGATATTTTACATCTAAAGCCTTACACACTTGGGTACATTTCTATAACACATTACGACATAATAATGGGTACCATAGAAGCAGACAGGACAGATGATGTGCTTGTAAGGATCACACCTGAGAGACTTCACTTTGTTACTGGGATTCAGTTATCTGTAGTTGTCTGAATGTTTCTGATTCGTTCTTATTATTGAGACCCATTTTCCCACTGTATGTTTTTTGGCATCCAACTTGTTCTGCATATTCTGTGCTATATCACCAATAGTATGAAAATGTTCTGCTTGTTCAGGACATTCCTGCTGTGACTTCTGATATTTATGCAATTTTTAATTTTGAAAAATTTAGATTCGTCGGCCATGTTTTTCTCATTGAAAATGAATGGAGCTCTCTTCACGTCCTTCAAACACTTTGCGATGTTTAAAACCTGTTCCTGCTCATTTCAGCTTGGGTTCTGCTTCAGCTCCTTTCAGCTTCTTTCTGCAATTTAATATTTTTAGGCTCCTTTCAGTGCATTTCTGCTTTTTCAGCTACTTTTTAAAATAATTTCAGCTTTTGTTTTTCCTGCTAATTTCCATTTTCTTTCTGCTAGTATCAGATTGTTTTTGCAACCTATTTGGCCTCTTTCAGACTATTTTAGCATATTTTGCTCCTTTCTGCTATATTTCTGCTCTATTAAGCTTTTTCTACACATTTCTGCCATTTTTCTTCTGCTTTGAGCTTTTTAAGCAAATTTAGCTGTTTAAACTCCACTCGCATTAGCGGTTCAGCAATGAAACATTTTCAGCTGGTTTCAGCTAAAATCATTCGCACCACACTGCATGTTCACTGGAAATGACAGTCAAGCCTTGTGTTTCTGTGTTTTCTCCCATGAAACGTTCTTAGAGAACATGGCAGGAACACACAGCTCTAAAAAAGCTCCAGAGAACTTTGTTTTTAGTGAATGCTGTGCACGAGTTTGCTGCACATAACCAGAAACGTGCACGTTGTGATGTCTGAATGTTGTTTATGATCATGACTGAGATCTTTTACAGCCCTAGAGCATCAACATTTTTAACAAACCATGCTGCTTTTATATATTTTTTTATTTATTTACTCCAAATTAGAGATGCCTCAGAAGTTGTTCTCTCTTAACAACAACATCATGAATCAGCAGCGAACCATCTGTAGACTCAAGCTGTTTTCAGACTTCCAGGAAGCTTCACGCTGCTGTTGTATAACTCAGTTTCTACATCTGCCTCAACCCCCCCCCCCCCCATCATTACATTGTTAATTATTTTCTAATAAATCTTCAAAGTTCCTTGTAATGGTTGACACGTAATATTGTTTCTTTCTGTGTTCATTGCATCACCTTTGATTCTTTTAAGCTGTGATTTATTTATTTGGTCACATAATTGTGTCTCCATTTCCTGCTCTCCACTAACCCAACACATCCCAGTTTGACTCTGATGGAAATGGAAAGATCACAACAGAGGAGCTGAAGGAGGGCATAAAGACACTCCTCGGGGAGAAGCTGAAGAAAGGAGAGCTGGAGGAGATCCTCGGAGATATTGACCTCAACAAAGATGGTAGCATTGACTTTGATGGTAAGTGGAAAAAACTCAATAAGAACAACTAAAACTCATTAACTAACTGAAACCATCACCTAAAATTACAGTATGTGACACTCATCCTTCATACATTTGAACTAGCCAAAGGTAACTTACTAAACTAAAACTGTTACCATTTATTTTAAACAACTCCATTTCAAAAAGGTTTGGACTTGGTGTGAAATTTAAAAACCAGAAAGCAATGGAATAATTTTTAAATCCAAAAAAAGGGCTGAGCTACAGGAAAAACAAAAGGTTGTAAAAATAAGAAACAGCTGCAACTACGTATAAGTAATACTATTAGTACTGGTACTATTACTATTACTAGTACTCTTAGCACAATTACTATCTTCTACTAATTTTAATATGATTTCTACTAGTAAAGGTACTACATACTTGTTCAGTGCTTAATTTGTAAACCAAACGATGCTGGAATGCAAATAGTTGGGGGGGTGTCGTCCTAAAGTAGATGCCATTTCCTGCATTCTGGTGTATTTTAACAGGTTATTAAACATTATTCTAGAGAGCAACAAGGAGTAGCCTGACCAACAGCTCTCCTTGTGTGAGTAGAGCACGCTCTGCTTCTCTCATGCATCCTCGCACCTGCTCAAGTATCTCCATTGCCACTGCCTTCATGTGCTTCATTTCTTCCTTGTGTAGCTGTACAATGAAAATACTTTTTTTAATGAAAGTAAATTGGAGTGTCTTTTCAACATTTTGATCGCTCTTATTTTGACGAGTTGGCCCCGTTGTTTCGATACATGATGTACATTACCCATCAAACATTTATCTCGTATTTTAATAAATAATCAAAATTTGATTAAGACCCACAACTATAAAGCTGATTTACAATTTAGTTGTGCTGTTTAATAATATTTTTGTGTTTTTAATTAAATTTCCCATGTCTGAACATTTAGGGGATGAGATTTTTTTAAGGCTAGAACTAGAAATGATTACTTGAAGGAGTAGCTCTTAAGTGATATTAGGAAGCTTGTAAGTGGCTGTTGTGTTTAAAATTAGTGTTTATGTAATTATTTTCATATTACATATCCAATGTAAGTTTTATTCATTCAAGGCAGTCAATTTGTTTCCTAACTTTATTACTGTTAAGCATGTTACCGGATCCAAGCAAACAGTTACCGGAACACACCCTGTCAAAATAGGAGAGCTCCCGGATCCTGTTACAGCAGGATCCAGCTCAGATTAAGCCCTGCTTGTAGTACTTTTATTAAACTATTAGTAGTAGCTCTAGTGGTAATACTTGCTCCAGTGTGACTTTTATCTTTGTGTTATCTAAAGCTAAACTTTGAGGCTGTAAGCTGTGTTTGCACAGAAGCTGGCTCATTTGAATAAAAATTAGACCTTTATAATTCCTACGCTGCTGGAATTTTATAGTTCCATTTTATAGTTCTGTGATCTGGATCTTTGTAGGCTGCTATGGAGTCTCAGTTGTCAGAAGGGGGCAGTGTTAGACCAACTCCACGCTGACATTGTCCCAGTTTATCCCAATGGAGCTTAAATAAAGCCAAATGTATGTTAACCTTAAATGGAGCAAGACCCAAATGTCATAGCAATCATCTCGTCAATGCTCCTAACAATTTGATGTTTGAATGGTTGCGAGAAGATCAAGTACACAGGAGTAGTTAGATGGCAAGCAATGGCATAGGAGGAACAAACGGGATCTCAGTTAACAGGGATGGGTATAAAAAGAGCATTTTAGAAAAGATGAACCTCTCAGAAGTAGAGATGGGCAGAGGTTCACCAGTCTGTGTCTGAAAATAGTAGAAAAAAACTTGAGAATAATGTTCCTTGTCAGGAAATTAGACAGACTTGGAATCTCCAATCATCTACAGTACATAATATTTTCAAAAGATTTCAGGAATCTGGAGATATCACTGGTCAGAGGACGGGCTGAAAGTCATTTATGGAATGTGATCTTTGGTCCCTGTGCATTAAAAACAGGTCTGATTCTGTTGTGGACGTCACTGCAGGGGCTCAGGAACATTCACAGAATTTATTGGCTGCACAAATACAGGTTCATGCAACAATGACCTGTGTAAAACCATGCGTAAAAAAACATCCAGAAAGACCTCCGTCTTCTCAGGACTGAAGCTCACTTCAAACAAACCGAAGCAAAGTGAAAAACTGTTAGCACACAGTCAAAAGTAGCCTCTCTGATGACATAGGGGTGCATTAGTGCTGTTGCATGCAAATATTTTCATGTACTGGTTTTATTCTGCTAGGAGACAATGGTTTACAGAACACGGTTCTGCTCTACGTTCACTGTATTTCTTTTCAACGCAGTCTTTTTTGCCCTGTGTTGTCACAGCTTGCTGAAATATGCAAGGCCTTCCCTAAAGAAACGTGAGCGCTTTAAAATTTGTGTAGCTCCTAAAAGAAAACCCTAAAGCATTATTTACTTAAAGTGATAGTAGTTTGAATCCTTTGAAGTGGGATTCTATGGAAACGTCATGAATAGTTAATACCTTAGACACGTCTTCAAACGGCCACTTCTGAAGAAACAGAGTTTAATTCTGATCAGATTAATGAGCTAACAGGCCAAGCAAAAGTGATGTGTTGTCTTAAAACAACTACAGTCTCAAAAGTTTCACAACAGTTCATGGAAACATCATTTTGTAGACTCTTACACCACTGTCAATTTTACGTTACACAAATATTCTTGCAGGAAGTCGTAGAGCTCCACATTCAAATTGCACATAGATAACTGCGTAAGCAAACGTCACCAGATAAAAATGGGTTCTGAAGAAACTGTTACGAAATCAGTATTTCATCAGTTTTGTCCGTCTGAACAGAATCAGACTTGTTTCTTCAAACTAAGGTGGTTCAAAATACCTTCAACAGAATAAATCTGAGCCATGGCTGAAAATATTTATCTTCAGCAAATCACTGTTAAATATTTATTTATGGTCATGATATTTATCTTCCAATTTCTCCTAAATTTACTGCCTCTATAAAACACATATTTAAGTTCAATTGTTTAAATATTTGACATTATAAAGATCAAACTGGTTCTCCTTGGGGAAGAGTCACTTGTGGGGGCTTTTGGGTAAAAGAATAAATGGTATCAGAAGCTCAAAAAAGTTCAAGACGAAAAAAACAACTGGACTTTATTTGTAAGAGAAGACATTTTGCTTCTCATCTGAGGAGCTGTCTCAGTTCAATTCAGTTCAATTCAGTTTATTTATATAGCACCAAATCACAACAAAGTTGTCTCAGGGCACTTTGCAGGAACATTCACATACATAAAAAGCCAATTAGTAAAGTTCTCTATCTAAGGAATCCAGCAGACAAGTTGAATCTTGGCTTCGTTGCAGTCTCCCATCCTGTGCAAGCACAGTGGCAACAGTGGAAAGGAAAAACTCCCTTTTAAAAGGAAGAAACCTCCAACAGAACCAGGCTCAGGACAAGCGGCCATCTGCTTTGACCGGCTGGTTTGAGAGAAACAGGAAGGAGAGGCAAATGAGCACAGAATGACAGGTCCAGATATAGGTGCAGGTGTACGTGAAAGACAAAAACACGTCAAGGATAGAAAAATAATTACAAATACAAAACAGGTTGAGCAGAGTAAGTAAAGACAGTAGCAGAGTGAAGAAATGTGGTCAGTTTGTCCTCCAGTCTATAGCAGCATAACTAAGGGACAGCTCAGGAAACCCACGCCAACCTTAACTATAGGATTTATCAAAAAAGAAAGTCTTAAGCCTAGTTTTAAAAGTGGACAATGTGTCAGCCTCATGGTCAGAAACTGGAAGTTGGTTCCACAAGAGAGGAGCCTGATAACTGGAAGATCTGCCTCCCATTCTGCTTTTGGAAACTCTAGGAACCACGAGTAAGCCTGCAGTCTGAGAGCAAAGTGCTCTGTTAGGAAAATATGGAACAATAAGATCTGTAATATAAGATGGAGCTAGGTTGTTGATAGATTTGTAGGTTAGGGATTTTGAATCCAATTCTGGACTTGACAGGGAGCCAGTGGAGGGAAGCTGAAATTCAAAGAACAGTGAGTGGGGTTTGAGTTATAAAGCTCAGCTAAGATTGATACATATACATATATACATATATTGATACAGATTGATCTATCAATCCTCACAATAGGGGTTCATTAAGGTCCTTGTTAGTTTGACTCACAGTGGAGTCACTCTGGTGACATGGATGAAATAATTCCTGATAGATGTGAACATGACTGGGGATCAGGCCCAATATCTGAAAACTGTTTTTATTGACCATGTCCTGGATGACTGAGAATCTTCAGCAGGTATCAGAAGCAGCTCAGTTCTCTCAGTCATCTCTAATCTGTTCAGAAGTTCATGCAGTATTTTCTGCATGAAAGGCTGTGGATGAAGGAAACAGAGGTAGGAAGGTAGAGTCAAGGTGGAGTTGCTCCGGGTCGGCTCGGTGAAGCATCTGGCTCTGTGGTGTGCAGACCTGGACACCTGTTAAAACACCAGAGAGACTGCAGGTCTGCTGAAGGACAAAGAAATGAACTGTTTCCTCTGAGCGCTGGTTTCTGCGCAGGCACCCTTAAAGCAACACACACGATAATCCATCTGCTGGAGTCCGTCAGGAATTAGCAGCAAGGCAGCGTGGGAGAAGGTTTTGGTGCCTTTAGAGGAGATTCAGTACCTTGTCAGTCAATAGGCTAACACCTCAAATCATTCAGACTAATGAGAAAAACCTGCAGCTGTGTCTTCGCCTCAGGAAAAGAACCAATCAACTGAATCAATCGATGATTGCAAAGAAAAGATGGAGTCTTTTTAAAGTAGGCCTTGGATCGATGAGTCGGTTCCAGTTGGTTTCTTGTTTTCACCCACTCTTTGAGCTGCCTAACCTGGTGATCGTACAAACATCACCGTGGGGTGTCAGTTTCAGCTTCATGCAGGCAGACATGTTTTGTGTTTGAGCATCTTCTCAGTGGATCTGTCTCCCCTGCAGAGTTCGTTATGATGCTTTCTGCACGGTGACCGACGATGGAACTGGATCCAGTCCACTCGCGGCTGCTGTCCTCGTCCTCCTGTCATCGCATTTTTTTTTACATTTCCTGTTTGATGATCTGAACTTAGAGGCTTGTCACTGTAAAAGTTGAGGCTGTGGTGGGTAAAGGGGGAGTTATGCAACACTGGCCTGGGCTGAGCGACGCTGCGTGGTTGCCCCCGTGTGGCTCAAAGATGTAGATTCAGCTCAAGTGATGCAAGTCATCAAAATGTTCCTTCTTGCTCCTTTTATATTCTCAGAACTTGAACCTGAACAGGGTCAGCGCATCAGTGTGAGAGCTCATCGTGTTTTTACTGCTCTGATATTAAAGCTTAATGTTTCCTGTTTTTGCTCTTGAATAAAGAACTGTAATGTTGTTCAGTGTCCCGTGTTATATTTGTCAACAGACAAAGCTGAGGCTAATGTTGAAAATAAAAGTGCATTTATTATTGAAAATTGATAACTTAACACATTTTAGCAAAAAAGTACAAATAAAATTACAAAAGCAGGATTTGTCCCAAAAGCCATAGTACAAATGATTTACACTGAACGCCATCAACTTTAGTTTTTGATCTTTTTAAATAGATATTAATACTTAGTATTATAATAATTCAAATAATGCAGCATGATGCAAGGCGAATGCAGCCACCCCCTCAGAGAGGAGAGCCGCAGGTATCCTCCTCTCTCCTCCAAGCAGTCAGAAGCTTTTATCTTTTTTGTTTTTTCTTGTCAGAATATTGCAAAAACTTATCATATTTGACTTTTTAATAAATTATCATTTATTGTTTTTTTTTTTCTTTAAAGGTTAAGGAGGGAAGATTTATCAGGAGAGTGAAATGGGTGAACACTTTGTCCCATGGCATCATATTTTCAGGGTCTATGGAGATAAAAGGGTCTAATCAATGGAAGAGTTCTGAGAATAAAGACGACCCTGAGGCTGTCACAGGAAGAGGTGTTTAAATAAACAACATGAAAACAAGTGAAACCTCAGAACCACACTCTGAAGAACCTGGAAGAAAGTCAAAGCCGGTGTGGTTCTGTAAACGTGCAGGTGCCGCGCTGCAGAGGCAGCGGTGGAAGTTGTGCGGAAACTTCAAGGAGTAATACTTTCATCGTACGTGAGCCTTTAGCTGCACTTGAGTTTTCCTCTGAAGCGTCTAGTCACTTTTAAAGTGCAGATTATAAATTGTGTTCTTGTTGTCCGACCACCTTTTTTTAGTCTTTCGGCATTCAGGAATTTGTTTCACAAACACAAACCTCCATTAACCAAAGCCGAAATAAACAACAAACATTAGTAAAAACAGATAAGTTGGAATTAAAGACTGTTTTCTGCTGTTGGGGCATTAGCAAATACAAAAAACACCTCCTGTCTTTTATGTTAGGAGCAGATGCAACTGCTTAAAGACTTTTTGGAAGGAAAAGTGTCCCTGAGGAGGTTAGGCCATCTCAGACTTTGTCTCTCTCGATCTTGTCGACGATAACTGCAGCGTCTCACGCCTCAAAGTATTGCTTTCAGCTGGCAGCGGACAGGAGCTGACGTGGAGCTGCTTGGTGTTTTCCTGAACGTCCCTTCAAAGTCCCAGGAGGACGTTTGTTGAGGAGGAAGCTCTAGTTGTTGGGGATGCTCTGCAGATATGCGAGGATCTGCTGAATCTTCACCAGGCGGTCTTTGAGGCTGGTCATGGAGAGAACGGAGAGCTGGTACCGCGGGTCGATGGGCAGAACGGCCAGCAGCCACCAGCAGCAAGCTGGACCGTTTGGAGTCGCCTGGAGTCAGAAAGAGAAAAAAATGCCCTTCATTAAAACCATTTGTATATTTCTGTTACAGCCTGACCGATACATCTGTAGAGCCGATATTTTAGGCCGATACAGATGTTTGGGGACATATCCTATCGGTGATAACGGTTCCATTATGCACCCATATAAACACTTCTAATTTTCACCCATAACATACTGGAAACAAGCCGTGTCCTTACTGGCAAAAGGAGTAAATATACAATGTATCCAGCAGAGGGCGCATGGCGGACTACTTTCAAGTCATGGACATTCACTTTAACTTTCACTTTCAGCACAGATGAAGCAGCGAGCAATACTGTGTAGCAAATTTTGCTGAACAGAGTATGGTGAGTTTATTTTAACTTCTCTCAAGCTAAAGTTTAGATAGCCTAGCATATGCTACTGCCTTGTAAAACTTTAGTTAAAACAATAAGCGTGTTGCTGTTCGGCGTATTGTTTTGATGCTTTTAGTGCTTAACATATTTTTAGTTGATGTTTTTCGTAGTTCATATCTTAGATCTTATTACTGTTTTTCTTTTACATTTTATTGTTGGATGTAACTGGGACCCTGAATACATAATTTTGTTTGACAATAAAGAAACTCTGACTCTAAATCTAACGTAGAAAAAAAAACAACGCTGCTGTGGTCAATACTAATTAGACCTTGACCATACGTGACTGATGTGTACTTTCTTTAATAAATGGGCTTTTAGCTTGCTGTAGAGTTTTCGATGTGTTCTTTACCCTGTTAGACCCATTTTTTATGCTTGTATGTGTATGGATGCTTATACATATTTTAGTGTACGTATAGAACTTTTCTTGTTTTTATTGTGAAGCATTTTGTGATGTTATATCTATAAAAGGTGCTATGTAAATAAACTTTACTTGTCGAGTCAGTGTTTTTTAAGATTCCAACCCTTCACTTCATTGGAAACAACAAAAACACAACACCCGACTGTTTCAGCTGGACGGTACAGAAACTGGACCGTTTCTTCAACAATAATGAGACTGTTCTAAAAAACCATTAAAGGTGTTGAGCTGCTTCTTGCAGCAGCAGAGGATGGAGCGAGCAAACAAACCCTTCTCAACAATCCAGCTGCTCTTCGTAGGAAAAGTGAACATGGTTAGTGAAAATGGAAAAACTGTTCTCTGAAAGTCTTCCAGCCACAGAACGATGGAGGATAATGAACCAGGAACAGAGAGGGGAACTTAAAAGAGGAGGCAGTACACCACATATCACCGTTTCATCATCATCTGACCCAACCAGTTTGGACAGTTTGACCAGTATTTGCTATTTTATGGAGAAAAGTTCCATAAAGGGCTGGTTGTTGTCCGCTGAGAGCGTGCAGCCTTTCTGAGGACTCTTTGATAAAACAGCTCACATGATGCGTTTGATGCGCCGCAGTGCAGGATTTATCAGAGGACGGATTGCTTGCATAACGTCAGGATTTCATAAAAAGGAACAATGTTGTGCTTTGAAATCAACCACGGCTGAGACAACCAGAGGTGAGAACAGTGTGAGGGCAGATTTGTTGGAATCTCTCATCACTTTCAGACCTCTTTGGTCTTCTGAACAACTCTTTGGACCTTCTGTGTTCTATTATATATTTTTCCTGGTAATTTACCACATGAAGAACAACCTACTTATTTTTAGGCTGTTCATTTCCACAAAATTAACATTTTTGGAATGCAGTAACATCAGTGTGAGCGGGCCGTGAGCTCCTGTGCCAAGTGATATGTGTCTTTTCCCAATAACCCAGTAGATCTGGTAAAGGCTCAGATGTGCCACCAGCCATGACTGCATTTGGAAATGTGCGCTTGTGTGAATACTTCTAAGACTAATTATCTCCATACATCACTTTGGTCCACTTCAGTTACTTTAACTGTGCGTTAGGCCTGTCACGATAACACATTTTGCTGGGCGATCAATTGTCTCAGAAGTTATTGTGATAAACGATAATATTGTTTGAAATTTAACAATAATTAATTGTCGAATTTAAAAGAAATGTTGATTTGTTTGGCGTGTAATACCTTTATCGACCACCTGATGGCAGTATAAGACAGTTTGAACCAAAGAATGGCTAGTTGAGCAGTGTGTCTCTAAGAAAAATGAGAGGGAGGACCCTTGACGTGACATGAACAGACATGGTAACATGGTGACACGGTGGACGCTTGGTGGTTTTAGCTCTTTGGCATAGCATTTTTCACACAAAGCTTTTAATAAAAAAATCTTTAAATAAGTTTGCAGCTTCTTTTTGCAGAGAAAAACAACTTTTTACACGAAGGCACGGGTTTCAACAATGAATATTGGAGCTTCGACAACATGGAGGTTTATTCCAGAGGTCAGCCTGTTAGCTTAGCTCATAGCTTAGCTTCTCGGCTTAGCTGCTTTTAACCAAACAAAAATGCAATTTTGGATGGTTAAAACAGATCTTAAAGAGAAAAAGAGGGGTCAGTGAAGAGCAACAGAGTTGAGCCTTTTGTCATCTCGTGTCTTCAGTAGAAAGAGACACGAAGAAACAATAAAGCTGATAAATGAAAATGAGGCTGATAACTTTCATTCATCATGAGATTATTTGATTTATTGTTTATTGCGGCAGGCCTACTGTGCGTTATAAATAAAGATGATTTAAAGTGATTTTATTTTTATCATGAGCTCACTTTGGAGCTGAAGAATTTGTTGTCTTTTTTGGAGTGACTGTTGTGTGATGGGGCAGCACGGTGGCGCAACTGGTAGAGCTGCTGCCTCTCAGCAAGCAGGTCCCTGGTTCAAACCCCGGTCCAGGGGCCTTTCTGGGTGGAGTTTGCATGTTCTCTCCGTGCATGCGTGGGTTTTCTCCGGGTGCTCCGGTTTCCTCCCACAGACCAAAAACATGCATGTTAGGCTGATTGGTAACTCTAAATTGTCCCTAGGTGTGAGTGAGAGAGTGAATGTTTGTTTGTCTTGTTTGTCTCTATGTGTCCCTGTGATGGACTTGCGACCCGTCCAGGGTGTACCCCGCCCATCGCACAGTGATTGCTGGACATGGGCACCAGCGACCCCCGTGACCCAAAATGGAATAAACGGGTAAAGATAATGGATGGATGGATGGATGGATGTTGTGTGATGCTGGTGCCCTCAGAGCCCAGGGTGGTGGTCCTCAACGTGACATCATCACTTTAAGGCAGTCCTTCTCAAATAGTGGGGCGCGCCCCCCTGGGGGGGCCCGGAGCAATGCCAGGGGATGTGACCCCGGGGAACATTTTGCAGCAGGGATTAGTTTTTTTTTTTTGGGGGGGGGGGGGGGGTTGGCATCATTCTCATTGTGTCAGGATGCGTTCGGCAACTGTTCACTAAAACCCATCAACTCTCAGTCTGACTAATAATACAGTTGTGAACAAATATGTCTGTCTTGTCGTTTGGGGAGCCGTGCTTGAACCGTGTCGCTGTGACACCTCCTCAGCTGGTGACACCTCCTCAGCTGGTGACACCTCCTCAGCTGGTGACACCTCCTCAGCTGGTGACACCCCCTCAGCTGGTGACACTCTGGACGCTTGTCACCCACAGCACACATGTGACAGAGAATAAAGTCAAAGCGAGAGCGTTACCTGCTCCTCTTCCTCTTTTATTTTAACTTTATTTTTTTTAGTTTGTCAAAGCAAAATTTTATCTTTTTTTTAATACAGAAGTAATGTTTAATAAATGTTAGGTCTCAATTCTTTACTAACAATTCCTCCGCTCTGGACGCATTTCACCCACAGCATGCAGCAACAAAGAGTATAAGCTCAAAGCGAGAGCGACACCTGCCCCCTCTTTCCTCTTTCCTCTTTCGCGTTGGCAAAATGTTTTAGTTTTATCGATTGTCAAAGCACAATTTGATGTTTTTTTTAATTTGTTATAAAAACAGATATTTAACAAATGTTAGGACTCTAGTCTTTGCTAACAAAATATATTTTGTCACTAAACAACTTGTCAGGTTCTTCTCTTGTGCGCGCATTCCCCTGGACCCCCACCCTCACCCCACCCGCCCCCAAACCGCTCGCTTGTTCTGAGCTCTTTGCAGCTTCTCTGCTGCACTGAGACCAAGTCCAGGTCCAGGTCCAGCTAAACATTGAGCAGGAGCTGAGAGCTGCAGGACCACGTTTCAAACTCCGCTTCAAAAAGCTGTGCACTGCAAAACGTGCTCATTGTAGCCATTAATCCTGACTTCCTCATTTTGATTAAAAAAAAACCTAACAAAACAAACATTACAAATTGTTTTATTCATTTTTGTTTTGTAGGTCAAAGTGTTTTATGTAACACTCCTGTCTTAAAATGCTGCTGATCAATTTGAATTTATTATTATTTATTGATTGTATTCAATTTGATTGTTCAGATTGTTCAGCTGCACGACTTCTGGTTTAATGGAGCAGTCGGCCACACCGAAGCAAGTTCACTCAGAAATGATTGTTTACAGTAATCTAGATGAGCTTTGTGTTACATAGATGAAAATTATCCTCGTTTCACAGAGTCTGAGCCCGCAACACACGGTGTTTAACATGGATGTGAGGTAAGCAAAGGTTACTGGGCTGAACAACACAACGTCTGCACCGCACCGTGACCGACGTGCTCCTAAATTACACAGCAGCGTTAAAACTCTCAGACCCTGCTTTGTGTCTGCACAGAGTTGGGGATTCGTTGCATGACACCGACATGACGCAACGCACCCCGCCCGATAACTCGTGAAGCACCCATTAAGCTCTTTAGCCTGCATTGTCAGTAGACTGAGAACAGAGCGGTAATCCCTCGCAGCGCTGCCAGCTGACTCGAGTCACAGCTGAACATGTAAAAACTGCCTTCCTGAACCCTCTGAGGCTGAATCTGTGTCAGTGGGAGTTTCCCCAACAGGCGACGCATCATGAAGGAATCCACTTTAGGACTAAAGGTGTTTTAAGTAGGGATGAACGATATTGAATTTTTGCCCGATATCTGACATGTTAAAAAACTTATTTCGCTGATAACCGATACCAATATATATTTTCCTAGACCTACTTACAGAGACTACACAGCTTTCTCAGTGTGGAATTAAAATCCTACATTATTCTGCATGGTCTTTGTCAATTTGACCTGCTACCAAATGCAGATGCCAAAAAGGGGACTGAAAATGATGCAACACTTCAACTTGGATTATGTTTAATGTCAAATTTATTCAAGACATTTACTCTCTAACACAATGACAACACTCGAACAGTGCAAATTATAAAATTTTCACAAATCTAAACTCAACGGCGTGTGTGACATCATAACGCTGCAGGCGTCCTTGTCACTGGGTTTTCATACAAAAACATACAAATTGCACCATTTATATAAGAGTTATTTTGATGGAATGGCTGATGTCCCATATTTATCTTTATCGCTAATATCGGTCAATACAGATACCATGTCGATAATATCGTGCAGCCCTAGTTTTAAGAATATCTTGCTTTAAGAATCCAACTATTGAAGGCTTCAGCATGCCTGCACACTTCCTCTACGTACCAATATTCATTCAACCTTTATTTAGATGGGTAAATCCCATTGAGCCTCGAGGACTCATTAAGAGACCTGATTATATTAATATTAAATATATATTTATCCATCCATCCATTATCTTTACCCGTTTATTCCATTTTGGGTCACGGGGGTCGCTGGTGCCCATGTCCAGCAATCACTGTGCGAGGGGCAGGGTACACCCTGGACGGGTCGCAAGTCCATCACAGGGCCACATTGAGACAAACAACCATGCACTCTCCCACTCACACCTAGGGACAATTTAGAGTTACCAATCAGCCTAACATGCATGTTTTTGGTCTGTGGGAGGAAACCAGAGTACCCGGAGAAAACCCACGCATGCATGGAGAGAACATGCAAACTCCACCCAGAAGGACCCTGGACATACAAAAAATAAATACAAAACAGCACCCTAATACACTAGATCCTGACTTTACCCGACAAGACCAGTCAAGACCGTTCAGCTGACGTCAAATTTAAGTTCAGTTTTACTGAAAGCAGTCAGGCAGGACAACTAAACTAAGTGTTACAGTCTTGCACTTTGTTCATCCTGAGAAGAATTTGTTATGAGGCTAAAAACAACAGTACAAGATGTTGGTGCAGGGTCTGCAATCTGCAGCTCTGGAGCTTTGACAAAACTCACACAAAGTTGAAAAACATTGAAATATTTAATTTAATGTCCCCCGTCGCTGAGGGATTTGATTAGTGAATGTTTGTAGTTTTCCAGATGAATGTTTTTGGGACTGGAATTGAACAAAACACAGAATACAAGTAAACAATGTTTTTAGTGAAGTTATTTAAGTGGGGCGGAGTTACACTGTGGTGAAGAACAGAGGAAGGTTTTATTTATTTGTTTGTTTGTTTGTTCGTTCGAGGCAGCGCAGAGTGACGGAACCTGATGAATGAAGGGAGTTATTTTATCCACCACCAGGTGTAGAGGCGGAGTCAGAGGTGACCATTGGTGGCCTTGACCACCATAGATTAATCTTTGGCCACCCAAATCATCTGAGGAAACTACACTTTACAGCAATATAAAAACTAGAAAGCATAAGTTTCCTCAGATGATGGGGGTGGCTGGTTTACACACACACACACACACACACACACACACACACACACACACACACA